GGGCGGGGCCGACCACCTGTGCGCACCGCCCCGGGGAGGCGGGACCCGGGGAGGAGGGGCCGCCCGCCCGCCCCCGCCGTAGCGCTCGCTGGGCTGGGGAGGCGGAGCCGTCATGAAGCCCAACTTCTCTCTGCGACTGAGGGTCTTTAACCTCAATTGCTGGTGAGTTTGCCCGCGCAGTGCGGCCCGGGGGCCACCTTCCCATCCGCACCCGCACGGGTTCCCTCGCAGCCGGGCCACGGCCCTATTCTGCCCCACGATCTCGGGGTGCGGGGAGGACCCGAACCTCCAGAGCTCACATCTGGCCCCAGTTTCCATAGTCCCCACCTTCCACCAAGCCCTTCCCTTTTTTTAGGGGCATTCCCTATGTGAGCAAGAACCGGGCCGACCGCATGAAGCGCCTGGGAGACTTTCTGAACACGGAGGGCTTCGACCTGGCTCTACTGGAGGAGGTGAGCTTGTGCCAGAGCTGGTGTGGAACCAGGCTGGGAGCAGGGCAGCTAAGGGTGCAGGGGCAGACACTTCCTCTGGGAGGAAGGCCAGGCCAGCATCCTCACTCCTTGGTTCAGGTGTGGAGTGAGCAGGACTTCCAGTACCTGAGACAGAAGCTGTCACCCACTTACCCAGCTGCACACTACTTCAGGAGGTAGGATCCCACTGGCCTGAAGCCTGCTCTCAGGTTTGGAGGCTCTTCCCCATCTGCCTGCATCCTCCCTGCTATGTGTGGGTGTCAGAGAGGGAGAGGGGGAACCAGGAAGACCCTGTCTTTCCAGCCCACCTCAGCTTTCTCATCTGGCTGCTCCATCCTTCCTACAAAACCTGTTGGCTTTGTTCTGGGGCTGGTCCCAGCAGCAGAGAGATAAAAAGTAGCTGACAGAGCTGGAAGACAAGGGCAGGGAAGAGGGCAGGGCATCTCTCCCTGCTATTCTGGTTATTAATCAGGGCTTGGCTTTCAGTGGAATCATTGGCAGTGGACTCTGTGTCTTCTCCAAACACCCAATCCAGGAGCTCACTCAGCATGTCTACACCCTCAATGGCTACCCCTACATGGTAAGACTGATCTCCCACCTTTCCACCTCCCTTCCCCACCCCCACTAACACAAGGTAGAGGAGGCAACCCTCTGGGGGCTGCAGGGGATTGGCAGAAAGAGGGTGGCGGTGCCCCAGCTGCAGCTCCCTCCCACCTGCAGGTCCATCATGGCGACTGGTTCTGCGGGAAGGCTGTGGGGCTGCTGGTGCTGCATCTGAGCGGACTGGTGCTCAATGCCTATGTGACCCACGTGAGTGGGCCGGGATGGAAAGGTGGTGATCCTCCAGCCCTGCTACCTGGGGGTGAGGTGTGGGGGCAGGTCTCCTCAGGAGGCAGTGGGCAAGGTTCACCCATCCTATACCAAACACCTTGCCCAAGGAACAGGCACAAGCTTGATTTAGACCTGCCCCCATGACCCTCGGTCTCACCTGCTGTAATCTCATCTGCCTCGCTCAGCTCCATGCCGAGTACAACCGACGGAAGGACATCTACTTAGCACATCGTGTGGCCCAAGCTTGGGAGCTGGCCCAGTTCATCCAGTGTGTGAGCCTTGGCTTGACAGGGGTGTGGGATGGAATCCAGGGTCTGAGGGTGGCCAAGGCCCCACTTATAGGGCAGAGCTGGCGGGGAGAATTACTCTCTCACCATCTGGCTCCCCCAGCCACACATCCAAGAAGGCCGACGTGGTACTGCTGTGCGGGGACCTCAACATGCACCCGGAAGACCTGGGCTCCTGCCTGCTGAAGGAGATGACAGGGCTGCATGATGCCTATCTCGAGACCCGGGACTTCAAGGTGAGGCCCTGCCTGCCTGTCTCCCCACCCGGACCCCCAGCTTCCCCCCCCCACATCCTAGCACAGGCCACTTGTTCCTCTAGGGCTCTGAAGATGGTAACACGATGGTATCCAAGAACTGCTACGTCAGCCAGCGGGAGCTGGAGCCGTTCCTCTCCGGCATCCGCATTGACTATGTGCTGTACAAGGTCAGTGTCGCCCCAACCCACTTTATCTCACTGTGTCATCTGTCACCAGCCTCTGCAGAGCCTTCGCGCAGTTGGTCTAGTTGGACCCCTGATGGCTAGAGAATGGGACACCGGGAGCCGGTTCCCTGGGAAGAAGCCCTCATCCGTAAGCTGCTCTCTTACCCTTCTTTTCCTAGGCGGTCTCTGGGTTCTACATCTCCTGTAAGACTCTAGAAACCACCTCAGGCCACGCCCCTCACAGCGGCAGCCCGCTTTCTGACCATGAAGCCCTGATGGCTACTCTGTGTGTGAGGCACAGCCCTCTCCTGCAGAGCTCCAGCTTTGCACAGGGTGAGTCACTCCACCCTTTGCCTTGACTGTCCCTCCTCAGGCAGCCCCTCCACTCTCACCCTCTCCCTCCCACCCCTGCTGTCTGTTCCAGGACCAGCGGAGAAGTCACTGTTGCTAAGTGTGCTGACAGAGGCCCGGATGGAGCTGGGCCAGGGCTTGGCTCATGCTCGCTGGTGGGCTACCTTTGCGGGCTCTGTGGTTGGTCTGGGGCTGCTGCTCCTGGCGGTGCTGTGCATCCTGGTGGCTGGAGGAGGCGCCAGGGAAGCTTCTGCACTGCTCTGGCTCCCAGTGGGACTGGTGCTGGGGGCGGGTGCAGCCTACATCTTCCACACACAGGAGGCCAATGGCTTGTCCAGGGCCCAGGCTGAGCTCCAGCATGTGCTGGGCAGGGCAAAGGAGTACCAGGACCTGGGTGCAGAGCCCCAGCCAGCCCTGCTCCGGGGTCAGCAGGCGTGGGACAGAGCCGAGGAGCAATAAAGTGTGGCATTTTCATGGCTCTGTCTTTGTCATTGTGGAGGCGGTGACGGGAACCAAGGGTCGTGTGACCATCACACTGGAGACCTTAAGGCTTCTGCACATCCTCTGCCCTCCCCACCCGCCCTCGCTTCCCACCTACAGGCAGCTAAGCCCTGTGTGTGGCAGAAACATTTTAATCATCAACAGCGAGGCCCTCTCCCAGGCAGCCCTGATGAGCTGTCTTCCTCGTGAGGAGGAAGGCAGGCAGCCCTACTCCCCTAGCCCTGGGCCCCCATCCCCAAGGCCAGCTCGCTGAGCCTACGCTCCTCCTGGAAGCGGATGAGGGAATCACGCTGGTTCACCACCGCCACCAGCTTCCTCAGGACCTGGTCCTCAGCCTGCCGGTCAGCAGCTGTCTTCAGGGCTTCTGGAGGGAGAAGATGAAACTTAGACAACGGAACTGGGCAGGGAGCAGAAGAGGTATGGCCTCATCCCTGCCTGTGGCCTCCACAACCTGGGCTTTGTTCCTAATCTGCAGAATTAGGAGTTTGGCCAACACCAGTGGTTTCTAGCATTACTGAGCAGCAGCACCAGCTTTGAAGGAGCTCTTGTATGTAAGCCCAGGGACACAGCCCTGGTTAGACTGAAGTGCATGTGGGGCATTAGAGCCCCAGCTGCTGACCTCCTAAACTGTCTTGGGTCACGGGTGGGAGGACTGTGGTGTCTGGCCAGAATCTGAGGTCACAAGACTAACACATCAGCCCTGGTCTGTGTCCGCCCTGCCACATCCCACCTACCTTCGCGGTTCATGTAGCCTCGTAGCTCCTGGTCCAGTTGCAACTGTTTCTCCTCCAAGTTCAGCTCCTGTACCCTGTGGTCAGGGATGGAAGAGACACAGCTGTCCAAAGTGCCCAAGAGCACGGGGCCTGGCCCACGTGCCTGTCACCATCCCCCGTGCCTTACGTGATCATGAGCCCAGCCTCCTCAGCCACCAGACTGTTTTTCTTCTGAACAAGCTGCAGCAGCTGTTCTACCCATAGTTCCTTCTGCTGTTCTGGGGAACCTAAAAGGAAGAAGGGGGAGGGGCTGGTCAGGAGGCCCCAGCCAGGGCCACAGCAGTCCTGGGCTTAGAGGCTATGGGATCCAGGGAGCAAAAGGTGTCTGGGCACGAGTGTCCGCTGTGTGGCATAGCGTGGGCATGCTGCAGGCCAGAGCATGGGACCTGAGTGATGCCGGAGGCTGAGGTAGTGTAGGAGGAAGGGGGTGTCCTCGCTTGTGTCCCCCCTGCCCTCACTCACTGCTCTGGCTCCTCAGGGCCAGCTCCAGCTTCATGCCCTCTGCCTCCAGCTCCCTCAAGGCAGCCTCGATCTCATTGAGTCTCCGCTGGATGGCCTGAGGGATACAAGTTAGGAATCTGGATCATTCGAGTGCTTGAGGACAGAGTACCGAGGAGCTCTGAGCCCAGTCTAAACTTTGTCCCCACCAGAAGTCCCAGGAACCCCTGGACCTCACCTGGGCTTTACAGAACCTCTTCATCTCCTCCTCCCTCGCACGGCGCAGCAGAGTCCGGCGCCACGTTGGGTACTTACTCATGGTGCCTGAAGTCTTGGCCCAGGTCAGCAGGGCCTATGGGAGGGCAGACCATCAGGGTAGGGCCTGGCCCCTGGTGGGTGGGAGTGGGGGAGGCTCTGCCTGGAAAGGCAGAAAAGAACCAGAGCCGGAAATAGGGTAGGTTCTGGTAGAAAAGATGGCGGCCTAGAGACATGACAGGCTGGGTGACAAGACTTTCTAAAAGAAGGGTGTGGAGGACGGCCCGGGGGTGGGTGGCTCCTGTGTGGGATGCAGAGAGTAGTAGAGGGGTGCTGGCCACGGCAGGACAGGTGGGCAGCTTCCGCCCACTCACCTGCTCCACGTCCAAGTCCAAAGGCACATCTTCTTCTTGCTCTTCTTCTTCACTGGAGGAGGGACTCTCTTCTTCCTCCTTCCCTAAGGCCTCAAGAACTGAGAGAGGAGAGGCAGATGTGGCCTTAGAGCCCCATGACTCAGACTTCCCTTGCAAGAATCCCAGTACTCCAGTCCCTACCCGGTCAGCACACTGGTGGGAAGGACAGTTACCTTGAGGCCTCTGGAGGGGCATGCCCCAACCCACAAAGCTGCCCTCCAAGGCCTGGCGGGCCAAGGCGGAGCAGCTGCGGGGGGGCTTGGGTGGAGGCTCCATGTCAGAGTCAGGGGTGAGGTTCAGGGTGGAAAGCCGCTCGCGTTCTGGGCTGGAGAGGCGGATCGGTCGCCGGGTGGGCTGGCTGGAGCTGGAAGCAGGACTGACCCCCTCCTCCGAGGCTGTGGGGGCTGAGGGGCCTGGGGGCATACTGTTCTCACTTGGTGTGGGGAGTGCCTAGAAAAGCACCACATAGTCTGGTCAGTGACCCACCCAGTGGGGGCTGAGGCCACCCATTAGCACACGTGAGTCCTGATGCCGATTCACTTAACAATTACTGAACAGTGTCAGGCAGCATCTGAATACCTAGGATTCAGAAACAGGACATCCTGCCTTCATGGCGCTTCCATCCTAGCTGAGGATGTAACCTCAGCAAAGCACAGGGCTGGAGACCCCTTCCCCCCATGTACACACACACACACACACACACACACACACACACACACACACACACACATACACTCTCTTCCACAGTTTTTACCGGACTTGCAGGGTCTCTGTCACTGCCTTCCTCTTTGGGGCCTGGCTGGGGCAGGTGCTGGAGGCAGTAGAAATGTCCTGGGGAGGATGGAGGGAGAGGAGTTATCAGGTATGGGCAGCCCCCATGCCAGACACTCAGAAAACTTACCATAGAAGGTGGGGCAACAAGACTTGGATTTGCAGGTGAATATCTGCGAGCCCTGCTGGTTCTTAGAACCTCACATCTGGAGCTCTGAGAGGCCAGAGAAGACTCTGAGCTCAGGGGAAGGAAGTGCCCTCTTATACCTGCTTGCACCTTGGGTCCAACATGCCCGTTCTGTCACCCTTGAGCTCTTTGTCCCCCAGGCAGGGTCAGGCGCGCTCTCTCTAGAGGTCTCCCAGGCCTGCTCACCATCTCCTGGGTGCTGTCCGTAGCCCCCTGGCCACAGTGTGGCCTCACAGGCATGGCAGCGGAAGCAGTTCCGGTGGAAGAACTGGCCATCAGTACCGAGGCGTTCCAGGATGTAAAGGTGTTCCCCACAAAGTGCACACAGGTCCCCAGCACCAGCCTGCATGGGGCCCAGGACACGGGTCAGCTGGAACCAAGGCCAGCAGCAAAGTTCTTCTCTTCCCCAGTTCTCCCCTTCCTTGCCTTCCCCAGGCCACTGTCTGCAAACAGGGCCCTGGCTCTCACCTCCTGGTGTGGGGGTGGGGGTGTCAGAGGTACACCAGGCTCAGGGACAGGTGACTCCTCAGTACTTGGGTTCTCAGCCTCTATCTAAGGAGGTAAGTGCTCAGGCCAGGGTCAGAGGGGCAGATTGGGTGGGAGTGGACATGTGCAGATGAACAGAAAGGGCTAGAAGGGAAGCGGGTCAGACCAGGCTGGGAGGCAGGATGGGGCGTTACAGGACCTGAGGTGGGGAGCAAGACATGGGGGGACAGGACAGAGGGAAGACAGTGCCTGGGGAAGGGGAGAGAACATGGGGTGTGGCCGTTTCCCCTGCCTGCTTACCTCCAGGCGTGGCTTCTTGCCACCAGCATCCTCCCCGTTTTCCTGCAATGAGTCCTACAGCTCTGAGCATGGAGGCTGAGTCAATGGTCCTCCCCTTTCCCTTCTGAATGTCTTCCTCACCATTACCCCAGGGACCTCCACCAGGTACCCCCTGCTCAGCCCCAACCCTGCCCAGACTCTCCACCTTGGCCCGGGTCCGTTGCAGGGTCCTCTGAAGCTTGCCAAGGAATAATACAGCACTGGAGGTCCCCGGAGAGGTTTGGCTGACAAGGCCTGCAGGAAAGTCAGGGTAGATGAGGGGCCGACACTGCACCCCCAGAACAGACAGCCACTCTCCAGCCAGAAGACACCTCTTCCAGGCTGGCCCCCAGAGGGCGCCCTCTCCTCTCGTCTCTCCCCTCCCATCCCCTCCCTACATCTCCTCCTCCTCCTCCTTCTTTCTCTCTCATAACACACACACACACACACACACCACACACACACACACACACACACACTCCATCCCTGTCCTGCCCACCTACCATCCCAGTCACCTGGGCTGTGTGGTGTGCTCTTGAAGGCACTGTGGAAGTGGCCAAGGTAGGCGATGAGGCCCAGCGGGTCACTTCCTGCCACCACCGCCTGTGCAGACACCACTGGCGTGACACCCAGCTCATGCTCTGCCACCCTCAGTGCCCAAGAAGTTGCTTCCAGAGCCCCCAGCCCCTGCAGCTCTGAGGGTTCCCTGTGGGATGTCAGGAGAGAAGCCAATGGGAAACAAGAACCTGGCACCATTGAGGGGGGAGGGGTGAGGAGCTGGGGATGACAGGAAGTGGCAAGGGTATGCAAAGGGAGGAGGGGGCATGAAGGCTGGCTTGCCTCTGCTTCCCCCTAATGATGAGCACACTGGCCTTGGGGGCCCCTGCCATTCACAAAGCTCTCTCCTATCTGAACATGTTAAAGAGTCTCACAAGCCTCCACTGGGCAGAGTCAGGCAGGAATGCCATCTCTAGGGTGCCAAGTGACATGGGCAGAAGTGGTGGAGTTGGTGCCCACTGGATGTCTAGTTCGACACAGCAACCTCCTTGCCATGACACAGCGAGTGTGGGAGAGAGGTGTGGTCTGTCAGGGACCCACCCCTGACTCACAGCAGGCCAGGCCGCAGCCGGTGCACCAGGGCGCACAGAGCCAGCCCATCAGCCCAGGAGGAAGACAGGTCAGTGACATGGACTCCAGGGTACCCATTCGTCTGCTCCTGGCACCAGCGTAGCAGCTCCTCCTGGGTGCCTGCCGGCCCTGTGAAAGAAGGCTGTGCTGTGCCCAAGGCCCCCCTGCCTTCCCCCCGAAACACAGAGAGCCCAGTTCCTGGGTGTGCAGAGTCCGTAGGGTAGGATTCGGGGACTCACCTGACAGGGGCACCAGTCTAAAGCTCACTCTCAGCACCACTGCCTCCCTCCTGATTCTCTTACTTTAGAAAACTCCCTTTTGGGGCACAGTGGCTCATGCCTGTAATCCCAGCACTTTGGGAGGCCGAGGTGGGAGGACTGCTTGGGCCCAGGAGTTCGGGACCAGTTTGGGCAACATAGCGAGGTTCTGTCTTTTAAACAACCACCACTCCCAAATCCCCATTTTTTTGGAATAAAGTAGGGGAATGAATACAGTGAAATCACTACGAGCCACACAGAGAGCAGCAGGCTGTGAACTGGGGCAAGGGAGGCCGAGGCACCAAGAGAAGGTGGGTCTGGGGCTTGTGAGGCTGGAAATGGTTGGGAGAACAGCGAAGACAGGTGTGCAGCACTGCTGCCAGTCAATACTGCTGCTGCCATGGGCATTAGAACACTGACCTGCACAGGACACAGCCAGTTGCCCTGCTGCCCCCCACTCCTACAGAAGGCCCCAGACCACTCCACCCTCCCCTAATCCCAGAACATTGCTCCAGCCTATGGCTGCTCTAGTGGGTGCTGTCTGGGCCCCACTGGTTGGTCATTATTTTGGCTGCCCCCCAGAAGGCCTGCTCACCAGTGGCCGGCATCCCTGCATCTGTCTTGTCACTCTTCCTCCACACAGGTTCCTTGGCCAGCACCTCATACAGGTCTCGTACCTAAGGCAGCCCCTCTCAGGTCTCCAGGCAGGCTGACCACACAGCCCCTCAGCCCGGGGAGAGGGGCCCACAGAGGTCAGGACTGACCCCAAGGGCAGTGGCTGGGCAGGGACACTGGACCTGGGGGAACGGAGCTGGTTTGGGAAGCCTGGCAGGGGTCCCAGGGGGTCTGACCTGATTGGGGGTCACTGCCCGGAGGTTCAGGTTAGGGTAGCGGGTAGCTGGGTCCAACCCATACTGGGCCACGTTGCGATGCATGTTTTCTGGGGATGTCTGTGACAGCAGCTGGTATAGACTCTCGCTGAGGGGGTGAGGGCAGGGGCATGCATGGGAGGGCTCTGTCAGCAGTTGGTGCTCAGGAGCTGCCACGCACTCTTTTATTCTCTTCTGCCCATGCCCTCATCTGTTCACCCAGCACCTCCCGACCCCAGGCCCACAGCCCAGCCTGCCCGCATCCCCCCACTCAGGTCTCACCGCTCTGCCAGCACCTCCAGGGGTCCAGTGCCCTCCGCCCATCGCTTCACCATCCAGGCTGCATCAAAGGCTGCCAAGAAGCCCCGGGCCACGCCGGTGCCCAAGGGCCAGAAGGGCTGCAGAGACAGAGGAAAGGAAACAGCTAGTGAGAATCCAGTAGGAATGTCCTGAGCCCAGACACTGTTGAGGCCATGGCAGGGAGGCCTGTCACCACACAGGCAGCCTCTCCCCTCCACCAGGAAGCCCTTAGCTCCCCTCAAAAACAACCCTTTGTTATCCTCCTCCTCCCTATTGGGCAGCTCAGTCCCCTAACCACGTGCTTCCTGAACGCTCACCTCCACCAGGCAGTCCCCCACCAGTTCCAGCAGCAGGCGGGTGCCGTGCCTCTCCTGCACGCGCGCGGAACTCTCTGCCCGCATCATGCTTGTGAAGTCAAAGGCAGAGACGTCAGGCCGCCCATGGGCATCCTGGGCAAACTCCAGCTTCCCAAGCTTGCCATGGGTGGCGAAGTCAGCGGCTGCCCGGGCAAAGCGCTGCAGAGCCTCAGGCACCACGTTGGCACTGCCCAGCAGCCGGTCGGTGTCCGGCCAGTCCTACAGGGCCAACAGATCAGAACCTCTGAGACAGGTCAGTGGGCCAGTCCTGCCCCCTTGAGGTCACATACTGAGGCCCAGAGGTGGGAGGGGGCCGCCCAGACCACGTGGCAGTTGAAGGCTAAGCCAAGACTAGAATGTCAAGGGTCTCAAAGCCCCTTCCTCAGCACTCACCCTGGTGCTGGGGGTCCCAGGCTCTGCCCTGCCACACACTTGCCACCAAAGCCAGAGCCTGTTTGTCTATCACTTAGACACAACATACCTAACATATCAGGGTGCTCCCGAGAGTTAGATGAGAAAATGCGAATTTAGCTCTCAACGTGGTACCTAGCACATTCATTCAGCAAATACATATTAAGTGCTTACTATCTATTAGGCACCATTCTAGGGACCAGGAATTAGCAGCAAGCAAGAGACAGACACAAATCCCTCCCTCTGGAGCTTCCATGTGCTATGGCTGATACAAGATGTTTAGAACGTGACTCCCGCTACTGTGGAAATCCAGGGAAGAAAAGCGTACAGAGGAGATGCTGATGCCAGGGGACAGGCAGAAGAGGACAAGGTCCCTTCACCCAGGGGTCAGCATCCAAACCTGGCCTCTCCCTCCCAGGACCCACCACCCAGCCTCTCCCAGCCAGGGCCTAGGCCCCCACCTGGCGCAGCACCCCCAGCCGCAGCAGGCACTGCTTCTTGGCTGTCATCACAAAGTAGTGGGTATCGTCCTTGTAGTACACAATGTTCTCCAGATCAATGCCTGGGGGGACAGGAGATACATCTCCTCTTGATCATGCATCACCTCCCCAAACGCCCCAGCCGTGGCCGAATCCCTGAGCTGGGATCCCAGCTGAGAATGTGCTCCATGCACAGAGCCTCAGAAGTCCTGATGACACAAAGGACCATCTGTCCCACATCCAGGAAGCCTGAGGGCTTGGCACAAAGAGGGAAACGTGGGTGGAATGGCAGCTGGGAGACCTATACCACATGTCACATGGCCATGCAAAGCCAACGTAAACACACGGCATCTTTTTGAAGTAGCACTTGTTTTTAATTTATATCATTTTTATATTCTTTCTTTTTAGAGATAGTGACCCAGGCTGGAGGGCAGTGGTACAATCACAGCTCATTGTAGCCTCGACCTTCTTGGTTAGGCAATTTTTCTGCTTCAGCCTCCTGAATAGCTGGGATCACAGGCATGTGCTACCACACCCAGCTAGTGTTTTTTTTTGTTTTTAATTTCTTGTAGAGATGAGGTCTTACTACGTTGCCTAGGCTGGTCTCGAATGACTAGCCTCAAGCAATCCTCTCACCTTGGCCTCCCAAAGTGCCAGGATTACAGGCTTGAGTCACCACACCTGGCCTACATAATTTTTATATTAAATCATAAAAGGGCACAAAGCAAAACTCCTGTGGGTTCCTTTGTCAGAGACTTCCAGAACTTTTCATGCTGGGTGAGCAGCAGGGGCTAATGCCTGCTCAGCCCTAGTGGGGGAGGTTTTCTCCTTTGCTGCCAAGACCATGAGAGGCGGAAGCAGCCCAGAGTCTTGCAGGAGGAGGGGAAGCCCAGCAGAAGGGGAGCCCTGACCTGTGGCTTTGAGCAGGCTCTGGAAGAAGCTCTGGTTGTAGATCCTGGCCACACCGCTGATCTCTTCCACCTGAGTCTCCTCTGCGGTGCGCCTGTTCACGAAGTTGGCCGTGATGCCGATGGCCAGTTTGCCTCGCATCTCTCGAACTTTGAAGCCTAGAAATGGGGGCAGGTGGATAATGGCAGGAGGAGAGAGGTACAACAGCCTAGAAAGGCCCAGGAGGAGCCAGAGATGCTAGCTTCTCGGAATCAAGGCATCACTCACCTTCAGGGACGAATTTCCCTCCGGCAGCCGAGATGAGGACATCGAATTCATAGCTGGCCAGTTGGGCTGGGGGGTTGGGCTGGAGCTGGGCATGCCAGCCAGTCCCTGGGGCAGGGGTAGGAGGGACATGGGTGTAGATGTCAGAAGGGTCCCTAAAACCCCTAGACAAGCCAGCGAAATAATGAAAATAAATGTGTAGGTCAGGCTTGATGGCTCAGCCTGTAATCCCAGCACTTTGGGAGGCCAAGGTGAGTGGATTGCCTGAGCCCGTGGGTTCGAGACCCGCCTGGGCAACTTGGTGAGACTTCATCTCTACAATAAATCAAAAAATCAGCCGGGCGTGGTAGCGCGCGCCTGTAGTTCCAGCTACTTGGAAGGCTGAGGCGGAAGGATCGCCAGAGCCCAGCAGGTCGAGGCTGCGGAGACCGGAAGTGGCCACTGCACTCCAGTCTGGGTGACAGAGTGAGACTCCAACTCAAAAAAAAAAAAAAGAAAGAAAGAAAAGAAATGTGTAAAAGACTCTGTGGTTTAGAAAGCAATGCTATCTTATCTACCAGATCACACCTTCACAGCAGCCATGGAAAGCCTGGCTGCCGGTAAGGACATGTTATGACCATCTTACAAACACTCAGCCTGAGGCTCAGAGTGGTTGCCCGAAGCCATGCTGTTAGAAAAGGAGACTCAGCTGACTCCGGCCCCCCTTTTGCAGTCACTGACCAAGACCTCCTTGGGGTTCCTGGGAGCACAGAAATACTTACCCTTGCTGGGAGGGGCCTGGAGGCCAATGAAAGTGGCACCCCAGTGGATTTCCACCCCCAGCAGCAATGCCACCTTCAGCAGAAGCAGCTGGAGCTGCCGGATGCCTGGAAGGGAGAGGACATTAGGAATGGAGACCCCAGTGCGAACCTGGTCAGAGCTGGAGGTCTTAGAGACCGCTCAGTCCAACTCCCCGCATGACAGAGAAGGGAACAAAGCCTTCAAGGTCACCGGCTGACATGGACCTTGTCCACTCTGCCCCACTGGCCTGCCTCTAGGCCTAGGCTCACCCGCCCCTCCAGACCACCACGTGGTGCTCACTGATGTGGTCCAGGGTGCCAGTGCAGAAGCGCCCGTAGAACTTCTTGGCACCAAGAGCCCGCAGGTCGTGGATGGTGAAAGGCCAGAGGTGGAGCACATTGTGGCGGGAGAACTTGGTACGCTTTTCTACCAGCACTACACGGGCCCCCAGCAGTGCCAGCTCCACAGCAGCCCGAAGCCCGCAGGGTCCAGCGCCCACCACCAGGCACTGTGGACACACAGGACAGGGGACCATGGGGTCCCGCCTCCCTCCTTTCCCCCACTCCCACACCCCGCCCCAGGCACCTGCCTCCACCTTGGTGCTGGCACAGGCCCGGCCCTGTTGGTAAACAGGCTGGCCTGCCCGCTTGTCCAGCTTGGCCCACAGCGACTTGGCGCTCCAGTAGTTGAGCTGGGCCTTGATCTTGTGGTACAGCGGCAGCCCCCCACCGGGCTCCAGCCCCAGGGCCTCACAGAGGCCCTGGAAGCTGCTCAGAACATCCCGACACAGCTGGGCCTGCAGGAAGCTCTCAAAGTGGGCATGCGCCGGGTTGGTAGAGGTGGGTGAAGCCATGAAGCCCCCTGGGGTTCCTGGGGAGGGGAGCAACTGGGCAGAGGCCAGGGGCTGCTGCAGAGGAGGGAAGAGAAGGGGAGGAGGCTGGAAAAAGGAGGAAGGGAAAAGGAAAGGGAGGAGGCCAGACTGGTGTCCCCAGGGAGCTTGAGGTCCGCGCTGATTGGCTGGGCTCTTCCCTCCCAGCCCACTCCCCTGCCAGGATCTGCCCCAGAGCCAGCTGCTATCCCATCCACTCCAAGTGGAATTTGCCAAATTTGGAAATGAACGATCAGCAGTGTTGGGCATAGAGGCCACATAGGAAGCCATGAGGACCTCCAGCTCAGCCTCCCTGGCCAGGAATCTTAGAGCCCAAGGGTAGGAATTGTCAGCCGCCTTCCCACCTGCCAGGGAAGCAGGGTGTGGGGAATATCTCCAAGTGGAGAGGGCTGGGCTGCCCAGGAGGAAGACTTCCTTTCCTTGTAGTCGGGGACAGACTTAATACCCAAATCCCAGCTGTTGGGTGCACACACATTCGGCCCCATCTCACCTCACGCCTCCTGGTGCTGGGTGCCAGCAAAGGCCTCAGTGCCACGTAGGTGTGAGGTGTTATCTCATGCTAAGGGCAAAGTTTTCCTCCTCAGCACTTGTACTTGCCTCCTGACAGAGAGAGACCGTCTCTGCCTGCTAGGTTCCCCTTCCCACCACCAAACCATCATCACAGACAGCCGGAAGATGTTGCGACTTCTGGGTAACAGAGGCCTGGGCCTATTTCTGACTCACTGTGGTCAAAGCACTTCCCCTGTGAACATGCCCTGCTCTAGGGGGCCTTGGGGAGGAGTGGGGGTCAACAG